ATGAATAGACACATGAAACGAAAATCTAGTCAAAAGAATGGATCCAGACCTTTATGTAAACCAAGAAATGGAAACAACAAGATGCTGGCCCACATTCATGTTCCTATAACAAAATGACTAATTCAACGATGCAAAAACCATTCCTTGTTGGCTGTTGACACCCTCCATGATGGGACCAAAGGGGAAATTGCAACTTCTTTAGGAGGAATTGTAATAAGCCGATGCAAGGAATTATGAAAGACGCCTACCCACTGAATTATTAAAAAGAGATTATGAAGAGAAGGGGCCCAAGCTAGAAGAATGATGAAGGACAGATCAGCTCTTCCTTTTTTGCCCTGTTTACTTGAAGCTTTACAGGAAGTTCCTCAACATATTCAACTTTCAACCAGTCCTTACCTTCTCCTAAGTCATGTCAAAGACTTCTTGATTCTTCTTTGTGGGGATCCATTCTAGGACAAGGCAAAAATCTATGGCTTAATGCTCTAAACGCTCCAGTGGAAAGCTCGGTTGGAAAGAAAGAGATTTTACCAAGGAGTGGAAAGGCTCCTGAACAGGAATCAGGATACTAACACTTAAATTTCTTCTTTAAGGACTTCCACTCAACTTTTTTGTAATATGGTCCGGAAAAGATTAAAAAGCATTTAATTTTCTAATCATCACTAAAAGAAAACTGTGTGGAGTGTAAAAGCAAGGGATAGCCTATCACCGAGAACACGGAAACGAAATAGCAACCTATCGGACACCTAATCAAAATGACTTTGTCATGCCTCAGCCATTCGTCAGCATAATCTTGAAAACCAAGTTGAACCAATATAAATACCACACAAGGTCCACAGGCCACAAAAATATAATTTGAGTGACAAAAACTGCATCCTACACGAAAAGGAATGCATGCAATACAATCACATGGATACCTTTTTCTTCATCATTACTAGATATCCATGGCCACCTTGAACAAGCTCTGAGAAAACTTCTCGAAAGTGCTTTGCAACTCCTTTGAATGTACGTTCTATTGATTCATCCTTCCTCTGATCTAAGACTCCTATGAGCTCTTGAATTTTCTACAAAGTCCAGAAGCACCAGTGCTTGGCAAGAATTTGACAGCCAAATAACAAACAAAACAATCTGAAATTGGAATATATTCCAAATCTAGCAATACCTCATCACCTGCATCCAATTCAGCTTGCCTTTTCTGAAGCTCTTCCCTTTGTTCTGTGAAATTCACATACTGATCTAATGCTTTTTTATTAACGTGACTGAATTGTTGCAGTTGTTCATTGCATCTGTGCAACATTTTATACAGTTCCTTGACGTTCCTCCTCTTATACCTAAAATTTGCAATAGGAAAGAAAACCCAACAAGGATCAGACAGCTACCAAGTAAATGAACCACAAACAGTAGATTAAAGTGCCCATGAAAAGTAATGTCAAATAATCTCAACTGCAATTACTAATCATTTGTCAAGGACAGCTAACACAAGGAAATCCAAATTAAAAGAAAAAGTTACGTTTCAAAAGCATCAGATGACAATAGCCCCAGTTCTCCAATTTTCTTTGAATACTCTTCTTCTTTGGCAAGAAGAACATTCCTTTTGCTTAGCAGTTGTTCCAATTCTTTTTGTTCCTCCTGAAGTGTCTTCTCATAGCTGTCCTCTAAAGCCTGCATTGACACGAGATCAACCAAGGAGCAGGGAGTTGGCAAGAATAATCAGTGGTCAGCATGTAAAAATGGGATACCTTCAGCTTATTCTTTTCATCTTTAATCTTCTTGACTTCCTTAGATCTGTAGTCCATGTTTTCAGAAACTCCTGAGAAATCACAACTTCAATCACTATAAAAAAACTAGAACGATCTCCCAAGAAATTTAGAAAGTGCTGAATCAAAAGTCTAACTTTTAAGCTGTTGAGTCGCTTCTTCTACTAAAAATTTGGCATCTTTCAATTCCTGTCTCTTCAATTCTGTTTCTCCATGTAAAGAGTCTGCTTCTGCAGATGATATTATAGCTTCTAACTCTTGTTTCCGCCGCTTAAGGTTAGTTGTTAGATTTGTCTCAAGCTCTGCTTTCCTTGTTTCAGTCTGTCCAATAAAAAAAATGCAAACACGAGGGCAAGTTAAAAAGATAGGATACGTATAAATGCAAACGCCAATGTACTGACCTCAATACGATCTGTCTTGCATGCAATAAGCCTCTCTTTCAGCTCTGATATTTCAGGGTTCAAACGTGATAGGAGATTTTTTTCCTCTGGTGTTAAATGATCAATGAGATCAGTGCCCATTTCAGCTTGTTTCATGGCCATATTACCTCTAAGCTGATCAATCTGAGTCCGGACATCAGCAAGTGATTTTTCCTACAAACAGGAGTAAGAAATATCAGTAAAAAGAACTATATTATCAAACTATGTTACTATATCTAACCATGGTGGACCAATAAGTTATCTAGAACGTCCTAAAGTACCTTATTCAAACGAGCTTTAGATATTAATTGTTTCTGCTTTTGAGCATTAGCAATGTCCTGCTTCATCTGTTCCATTTCTGATTTATCATGACCCTGCTTGGCATCAATTTTCTGCTGCTCTGTAACAAGTTCAGTAATTTTCCTGTCTATCTGTAAGATAAATTAAGTAAAAGAAGACAAATCTATAGACTACGTAGTGGATGATTGCTTGTGATAACAAAGAACACACAAACTGGAGTCAGGTTGACAAGCTTTTATAATTAAGAATAGGCTTTAAGGAATGATAAGTCTCCATAAAATAATAGGTTTTGCACATAAATATGTTAGACCCCCCATTGTGAAGACTTATAGTAGGAAGGTTAAAAGAGGTAATTGGAGGGATGTTAGGCCATAACGGCAAAGAGAGAGAAGGTACTAGCTACGAGTAGGGAGTGAGTAGGCATTTAAGAGAGGGAATGTCGTTAGGGAAGAATCATTCTTGTTTTCAGTGTTTTCACCACCCTCTCAAATTGGTGGGTTGGCTTTCGTATTACCTTCGCGCCTCTTATCTTTTATTTTGAGTAAAGAAACCTTGTGAGGAGATACCTCACAAAATATTAATTAAAAAAGACTAAATGTAATTATATCAAAGACTTCTAACCATGCCAAAGAACTATAATATTAATTTCTTCAAACCCAAGGTTCCAGAAGAACTTTAACAGAATTTTGTTTAGGGGAGTTGCTTTGTTGTGGACAGACTTTTGTTTAAGGTCCCTCTGCTGGTTTGGCTTGTAAATTTTCAATAGCCTATAAAATCTGAGCAAATTCTTAACCTCTCTATCATTGAGGGGCCTAATAAATTCAGCTTCCAATCATTCTCAACCCACTTCCAGCAGCCACTAACTGAGTGATATAACCTCAGGAAGACTAGTCTGGGAGGTCTATCCATGCGCACTTTGTTGTCCCAAAAATTGATGCTGATCCCGATGCCCACTTTGAAAGGTAAAAGCTCTTTATAGCTATCCTTGAGGTAGACCACAATCTTCCTGGGGCTGCCAATTTTTAACTTGCAATTACTGCACGTGAACCACTTGCCTCTGTCAAAGTTGTACTTGCAGGATATAATAGAGTACAGTGGGGAGAGAAGAAGTATGGAATGCCACCTTTCATTCTATCTGCCACCACTTCAGCAAGGAGTTAATTGATGCAATTGACCAGACTAATGGGCCAAAGTTTGGAACATGGTTCAACTTCCCATAGATTTGGGGAACTAAACATTGGTAACTTGAAACAAAAATGCATTCCCTTTTAGCAAAATGGATTTGGCAGTTTTTAACGGAGAAGGGAGCACTTTGGAGAAGAGTAATAGCAGCAAAATATGGCTCCTTCCCTTTGGACTCATGGCTAGATACTCCCACTCTACTGTTATCCAAAGGACCTTTGGAGAAGAGTATTAGCAGCAAAATATGGCTCCTCCCCTTTAACTCATGGCTACATATTACCAATTTACAGTCATCCAAAGGACCATGGAAGAGCATCATGAAACTCAAAGATCTAGTCCACAATAGCGCTAGATTCTGTATAGGTTATGGCAGCTCTACATGTTTTTGGACTGATTGATGAATGGGAGAAGCTCCTTTAAAGGACGTCTATCCTAGGCTCTTCTTCCTTTCAAACAAGTTCTCATCTATAAAGGAATAAAGAGCAGTCCTGATGATCTTCGTTCCAGCAGCAATCAATAGTGTCTTCTTTCCTATTTGGAATTAGGAAAAGATCCGGGAAAGCAACCTCCAAAGGGTGATCTCCGTTCCATAGGTTTTTCCAAAAACAAATCTTGCAGTCATCCTTTGCCTTAAAGGACACAAAGTTGAGGAAGAGATTTATGTTTTTTGCTATCTAAAACCAAGGCCCACCTTGACAGCACTTTTTGGTGACCTTGTCAGCCATCCATGGGGTTGGATCCCATAAATGATTCGACGCCACAGCGCATTGTCTTCTTGAGTAAATCTCCATAGTCATTTAAGGAGGAGGGCGTTGTTCCGTTGTTTGAAAGAACCAATGCCAAGACCACCATGGATAAGAGGAAGAGAAGTTCATTCCCATTTTACTAAATGGCTGCACGGGTGGGAAGATCCTCCATCCCGAAAAAATCTCTAACCAACTTTTCCCATCCTTAATAACTCCTGCAGTAGCTTTCAACAAAGAGAGATAGTAGTGGGGAAGGCTATTAAGGACCGAATGAGCAAAATTCAAGCGACCTTGCTTGGAGAGAGTGAGGTTTCTCCATTTAGCTAGCTTGAGAACTTGTCCACCATCGACTCCTAAAAACCTTTCGACTTGGCATTTCCTCCGAGAGGAAAACCTAAATAACAGAAGGGGAGACTCTCTGTTTTGCACCCAATTAAATTCGCACTCTCAAGCAAAACAGAATCGTCGATGTTTAACCTCACCAAAGAAGTCTTAGCCAGAGAAGCCTGCAGCATAAACATAGAAATAACTCCCCACCAATCCATGAGGTCTTCCTTATCTTCCCCATTAAAAGATAATCGTGTCGTCTGTGTATTGACGGTGCGTCAAGGGGAAACTTTCTAACTAAAAAAGAAAGCCTTTCAAGATCTTTTTCTCATGGCAGAGTGAACTAGACGGCTGAAAGCATCTCCTATAAGAGTAAAGAGGAAAGAGGAGAGAGGATGATGTAGTAAAGTAGCTCTTCATAGCTTTTCTCGATTATTAGCTACTGTTATAGCTTTTATTTTAGTAGCTTTACTTTTACTGCACAGTAACAATAGTTACTCA